GTCTTTTGTTCAGAGGAAAAAATACACATTTGAAGTTTTACTCAAACCTGGTGCTGTTGATCTTGTTAGATATCATCTGAGTACACCATTGCCCATGTGCCAGAGCACAGTGGGTATGGTATAGAGGATTGGGCCTAGGGCCAGACCTCAGGATTTGGGGTCTTTTCACCATTTATCAGCTCTGTGGCTTTGGGCCATCACTGTCTTGATCTCATGATACCGTAGTTCCTCTATTTGCAAATTACCCCCCACAGGGAAATTGTAATACAAATGTATACCTGTCTGCTTTATGGGTCCACTAGGACCCATATGGATTTTCCAAATAAGATCTATCCATAGAACTTTCTTAATTGAACAATTTTATGCAGTTAAGTGGAAATTCTGAATATGGATTAGTAAGAGATTAGACAGAGAGATTATACAAAAGTTTTTCCAATTTTACAAAGGTAATATTAATTACTGAAACTTTGAACAAAGAAAGAAGAAACTCTAAGAGAGAGTTTACAATGTCCTAAAACCAATACAGACACATTTCCAAATGAAAACCACACAAAAGAAGTAAATTTCTGCTGAATAAGCCAAGACAGGGGATATCCATAATCAAAACAATGCAAGCAATGCCATGTTTTAAATTCGATCCAGATTTGTGATGACTGTACACAAGAAATAGCTTAACTGGAGTCAAATATATAGGGTCTTAAAGATAAAGTCTAGATGTTAGGAGTTATTTAATGTTGTGCTTTCAGCCCTATTTCCTGAGGAATCATCAGAGCCATGCTTGGGGAGGGCAATAATTCTTGTGAGGCATTGCAGCTGCTGAAATGCAGACGTACGGAATATTTGCAGTCTCTGGTATAAAACAGAAATAAATTCATAATAGGCTAAATACTTGCTCCTTAATTTTCTCTTAACCATGGAGAAAGGATCTTGTATAGACTGGTTGGTAAAAATCTAAATGTTTGGTTTCTCATTTTATCTTTGATGTCCTGTGTACCCTGTAAGAGTCTGTACTTGTAGCTATGTGGCTACAGCCAACACTGTATGCCCTAAACGTGTTTAATACTTGGGAGGTTGAAATTCATAGACATCATTTATATTGGTATGGAAATCATGGCGCTATAGTGAAAAATTAGACTTCCGTTGTTGATATAGTGAATCAACGAATCAACTAGTACATAATGATGATTTCCTTGATAGCATTGAAAAATAATTCAATTGCATTTCCTTTTGCTTTGTGGCAACATATTGGTCTAGTAGAGAGTCAGGTGGACTTTTTTCCATCAAATGTTAATTGAGAAGTTCTTGAGTGTCGGCCACTCTGCTGGGTCCAGGAATATGGTAAGAAATATAACAGACCAGGCAACTGACCACCCAGCTGGTCAAGATCAAGGTGTTGCTGGGTTGGCCCCTACTGAGGGCTGTGAGGGAGGATGCTCTAGGCCTGGCTCCTGGGCTTGTAATAGTATCTTCTCTGTGTCTCTTGTAGCACCTTCCCTCTGCTTTATCTTTACTTTTCAATATTTCTATTTTAAAGTGAAAATGTTCTTTATTTTCTGGTTTCCTTTCATAAACAAGGTTCATCTCATCAATGAGGACATAGGTCACCAGGCCACTGACCACCCAGCTGGTCAACATACACACTATAGGAACTCCTAAAAATAGTTAGGTTTATATTTCACAAAATTCAGCACCCTTTCATGATAAAAACTCTCAACAAACTAGGCATAGCTCAAAATTATAAAATCCATATATGACAAACCCACAGCCAGTATCACATGGAATGAAGAAAAGTTGAAAGCATTCCCAATAAGGACTGGAACAAGACAGGATGTCCACTGTCACCATCTCTACCTAACACAGTGCTGAAAGTACTAGGCAGAGCAATCAGGCAAGAGAAAGAAATTAAGGTATACAAAGTGGGAATGAGGAGGTCAAACTATCACTATTTGCAGATGATATGATCTTATACCTAGAAAACTCCAATTCAGCCACGTCTCCAGTTACAAAATAAATGTGCACAAATCAATGACACCAATAACAGTCAGCCTTAGAGTCAAATCAAACACTCGATACCATTCACAATTGCTACAAAGAAAATGAAATGCCTGGGACTATATTTAACCAATGAGGTGGAAGATCTCTGCAAAAGAAAACTATGAAATACTGAGAAAACAAATCACTGATAATATAAACAAGTAGAAACATATATCTTGCTAATAGACAGGTAGAATCCACATTGTTAAAATTTCATACTACACAAAGTGATTTATAGATTCAACACAATCCCTATCAAAATAATAATGGATCTAGAAAAAAATAATTTTACACTTCAGAAAACAGTTTGAATAGCCAAAGCAATCTTAAGCAAAACAAACAAATGGGGAAGTATCACATTACCAGACTTCAAACTGTACTACAAGTCTATAGTGACGAAATCAACATAGTATTGACATAAATATCGAGATGCGGACTGATGGAACAGACCAGAAACCCTCGATATAAAACTGTCCATGTACAGCCCCACTGATCTTTGACAAAGAAGATAATAACATACACTGGGGAAAAGAACCCCTGTTCAATAAATGGTGCTGGGAAAATTGTATAGCTACAAGCAGAAGAATCAAATTTCTCAAAAACTTAATTCAAGATGGATAAAAAGCTTAAATGTAAGGCATAAAACCATAACAATTCTGGAAGAAAATATTGGGAAAACTCTTCTAGATATCATCCTAGACAAAGAAGTTATGAAGAAGACCCCAATGACCATCACAGCAGCAACAAAAATAAGTGAATAGGACTTCGTTGAATTAAAAGCATCTAAGGAAATAATTAACAGAGCAAACAGACAACCTACAGAATGGGTGAAAATATTCACAATTTATATGTCTCATAAAGGACTAATAACAAAAATGTACAAAGAACACAAGCAAATCAACAAGAAAAAAATCAAGCAACCCCCACTAAAAGGTGGGCCAAAGACATGAAGACCCAAAAGAAGATAGAAAAATGGCCAATCAACATATGAAAAATGCTCACGATCACCAATCAGCAGGGACTTTCAAATTCTGTCACCTTACCCCAATCAGAATAATGTTTATTAAAAAGTCCCAAAATAATAGTGCTAGCATGGATGCAGAGAAAAAGGAATGCACAGTTGGTGGGACTGCAAATTAGTACAACCTCAATGGAAAACAGAATGAATATGCTTCAAAGAACTAAAAGCATCATTTGATCTAGGAATCCCATTACTGGAAAAGGGAAAGAAAAAGAAAGGAAAGGAAATCATTTTATCAAAAATACAACTGCACTCAAATGTTTATTGTAGTGCCATTCACAATGGCAAGGACATGGAATCAGCTCAAAGGCCCATCAATTCCTGGGTGAGTTAACAGAATGTGGTATATGTACACCATGGAGTGCTACTCAGCCATGAAGAAGGATGACTTACAGCCTTTTGCAACAATTTGGATAGAACTGGGGGCTGTTATCCCATGTGAATAAACACTGCATGCACTCACTAGTACATTGGAATTAGCTGATGAGCACACGTGTGCACAGAGGGAAGTAAAATTCAGTGGAAATCAATCAGAGGGGAAGCGGGGATGGATGAAAACTTACCCAGTGGGTGCAGTTAACACTATTTGGGTGATGGGCACCCTTACAGCTGTGACATGAGCATTATAAAAGTAATACTGTAATACTTTGAAAATATTTTTTAAAGGACTTTTTTTCCTGACTAAAAAATTACATATCATCATTATAAGAACATTTGTAAAATATAGAATGCAGTACAGTGAAGAAAATGAAAATTACCTTTAGTCCTAATGCCAGGGATAATGCCGCTCTGCCCACGCCAAATTGTATTATTAGAAACAGTTGGTATTTTTCCATTTAAAGTATCTTGAACTTTGTCCCAGGACATTAAGTATTTTTAACAATATCCTTTTCAATGGCTGTAAAAGTAGTCCTTATTTTGAAGGTACCCAGTTTATTGAACTGATCCCTTACTGTTGGATAGCTGTTATGCCATGGTTTCCTCACTCTAGACAATGATGCTATGAAATGTCCTTAAGAATAAAATTAGCATATATATCCATCATGATTTCCTTTGTATGAAATCCGATAAACAGGATTGCCAAATCAAAAGTTATGTCCGTTTGCAAGGCATTCGATGCTTATTACCAAATATGTCCCTTAGCATTCACTTTGTCAAACTCATTTATCCTTTTATTAGTGGTCTTTTAAAAAAATTTTTCTACATTTTTATCTTAAGTGTATGGTCTACTGTAATTTTGAAGCAACTGAATATTTGTTGAAATTTGAGGAGGAAAAGGACAGCCAAATTCTAAAGGCAAAACGTACCCAAATGTAACTGTGGTAAGGGGGGAAAAAGGAATGAAAATATTATTATCTGATGTCATTTCACGTTCTTTATGCCCAAATAGACTTTGACATTTTAGCTGGCATTTCCATTTAGGCAAGTAAATATACTTTAGATTCAGGGCCCAGGGTCCTTTATGGTCCAGCACACATCAGTGGACTAGCTCTGTTTTCACTGTAACTTTCTCTGTGCTATAGAAAGCAGCGTCTTAGATTTATATGTCCGTTCAATTACTAGCACTTCACTTTGACCTAATTTTCAATTATTAAGAAAAATATTCGCCTTGATATTTACAAGTAGGGAAATTGATGTGAAATTGATCTTGCAAATGGCGAGGCTTCTCCAGTGCTATCGCAGGGATGCTTGTTCTGTGAGCCCAGGGTGAATTTTCTCCTGCTTTTCTCAGATAAGCACGGTTTGTATTGTTCTCAGGTAGTTTCACAGTGAATGTTCTAAAAACGCCAGAGAAAAACTGATGACAATGAAACCGAGGAAATTTGGAAATAAATCTGTTGAATAGCAAGGGAAAGTGAAGATTTCCTATCGTTATTTCTCTCCTAATTGTAAAAGAAAAATAAGAAGCCTTATTCTGATAGTGTTTTTGTGCCCTTTTTTCCAGTGCTCTGTGGCGGGGGCGAGAGCTTTCTGTGTGCCAGTGGAATCTGCATCCCCGGCAAACTGCAGTGCAATGGCTACAACGACTGTGATGACTGGAGTGATGAGGCCCATTGCAGTATGTGACAGGGTGTTGGGGGTCTGTCTGGGTGAAGAGGGATTCTATTCAGGGGCCTAGAAACCAAAACGATCGCATTGTCAAATCCTGACAACCATCTGGCTTTTGCGCTGACGGCTTTTGGTTTGCTCTTCTAAAGTGAGCAAACGTGTTTCTCTGGCCCCACAGTGACAGCAGTGTGTTTGCACACCTTTCAAAGGCGGGGGGTATTGGGAACTCAGCATTAGATAGTGCATTGCAACAGATCGGGGATTGAAGCGTTTTAGCATAAAGTAACTTAAAATTGGGAGAAGGTTTTTGGTTTTATTTTGTTTGGATGAGGAGTTCTGTTTTTGTTTTTAAAGTTTTAGAGTATAAAGGTCAATGGTGTTTAAACAGGATATGTTTATAGGAAAATTTTGCACTCTGATGATTTTTAACATTAATAACACAGTTAGTACAAAGCCTCTTTTATTTGTGCTTCCTCCAGACCTGGCGATAGCAGCATTCTTTTTAAATCCACTCATCAGTAGGTTCAGCCTTAAATATCCTCCGTTTACTTTTCCATTAGTTTGCTTAGTCATTTTGACTGAATTGGCCCGTTGTTTATCCAATATAGATTCAGATTTTGAGTTGTTCTGTACTTACAAACCAGATAAAAGGG